ATGTGGTTTTTGTGCATATTGTACAAACCCTGTGCTCTCCTCAGTCAGGTGAAGATTGCCTCCATTCCCAACTGCCGCATCTGAGATAACTTCATCATCCACACACAGATCGGTGATCCACAGTCTCATCTAAATCACATGAGGGTGGGGCTGGGGATTTAGCTCAGTGGCACAGCACCTGCCTGGCAAGCGCAAGGTCGTGAGTTCGATTCCTGGTACCGTAAAAAAAAAAAATCACATGAGGGCAAGATTCACGCAAGATTCATCCTGAAGCAGATTTCCTTCCAGTTGTGAGCCTGTGACACCCATTTCTGTGCTTCCAAACCAATGAAGAGACACATAGATAGACGTAGCCATCCCTAATGGATTGATACTAACAAAGGGAGGGGTAACCTGCCCCAAGCAAGTCCACACCCAAGAAGGAAAACACCACAGAATGTTTAGCCCCGAGATTAATCCTCCCTGACTCCATATCTGGCCTTCCACACAGACGGGGCTGTGCTTGGGCTCCCGCACAGTGATGGACTGAGAACAGCTCTCGTGGGCTGGAGTAGGGAGCAAGGCTTGGCACATGGGTGGTGGACTTTGCTTGGTTTTACTTGATAGCTCTGAGCCCACATTCTGAAGGCTGCTTTAGGAGGAAATCTCTGTAGTAGCTCTGCCCCTTGGCAGGGTTTAGCCTGAGCTCAAGCCTAAATCAGACATTGTTTAAAACAAAGGCATAACTAGCAACGCCTCCACAGTTTTTGTGCTCTGGGCACCTGTCATTTGCGCAAGAATGTGCTACAGATTCTACACCCTACCTTCTGGAGAGGTGGCCTGTGCTACGCGGGGGTCACCTGTGCTGTTTATGCTTTTGGTGTGGCAGAGGAGCGCTGTACAGACAGATATTTTTCCTTTGTAACTTTTTTATATTCTGCTTTATTTTAAGGAAAAGCAAATTATATAATCAAATAATAAGATAATAACAATACTAAATGCACTGTGTATAATTATCTTCAAAGCAGCTACTCAGAATACAAGGCATAAAAAGACACGAAGAGCCGAGGCGGAAGCCAGGAGATGGACATCTGAAGGGAAAGTGCCGACTAACGCTCCTCTGAACAAACAGAAGGAAGCCTCCTTCTCTGCTCCTCGCTTCTTCCTTTTAGGCTACAAGCCTACTGCCGGTGCGGCTCCCACTCCGGGGGGGTCCTCTGCCTTCAGGAAAGCCACCCAGCCACACCACAGCTAATCCAGTCAGTTGGTCATTTCTTACTCCAGTGAAGAACACAGTTAACTGTCACGCTCTTTAGGGAAGTGTATTATTGCATTACGTTTAAACACATTCTCCTTATCCATTCATCTGTTGTTCAACACGTATGTGTTTCCCAGACCCTGTTACTATACATTGTGCTGCTACAAACATGGGCACACACGTATCCCAGTAATACAATGATCTGAGCTCTTTTGGGAAATGATCACTTCAGTCCTGGAGCAAAGCTCTCCTCCTAGGTGCTGTTCTTTTCTTTGATCAGGCTGGTTGGTTGCTTGTCCTCTCTGCTGTTCTGTGTAAGGGAGAGAACAGAGGGACTGGAGGCAGGATTGCAGTGCCAGTGTCCTCCTGACTCCTACATGGTGGCCTCACGGTCATTAGTGTTGGCTGGGAGCAGGGCACGCAGTTCCCAGGGCCTCTTGGTCTGGCGGTGGCCTGTCAGCTGGGGTGAGGCTGAAGTGTCTGTGCAGATGCCAGGAATCAGACATCCTAGGTGATAATGAGACGGGAGCTCCTCACTGTCCCAGGCCTTTGGAAATTGCTCGCATGTGAGGTTGTGCATTCTATGTGTTTGTCCTCGATTCCTTCCAAATGCCAAATTATGACTTTAACTCACCTTCCTTTAATACTGTTATACGTAGTGAGCTGAAGCCACACAACTCCCTGAATGCACAGCTGCTTAGAAATTTATCTCTAAAAACGTCTGGCTTCATTGCTTTTGAATTCTCTCTCCCAAGAATTGCAGGAGAAGGCACAATGGAGCTGAATTCTATATTCCTTTGCAGGTTGGTGACATTTAACCACTTTCCAAGTAGATATTTCTTCTTTCAGTCTAAACATTGTAATTAGCGGTAAATTCTCCCTACATTCTCCTCATGACCAGTTAGAGAAGCTGCAAGGGTCATTCGGGTTTTGCTGCTCAGCTGTGGTCCTCCTGAGTCCTCTCCAGGGTCTCCTTTGCAGTTCCTGTGCAGGTTTCTGCACTCTGAAGCGTTCAGTGCACCACTCCAGAGCTGCTATCCTGAGTGTAAGAAACTATAAAACGTCCGTCTTCCCTGGTACCAGTCTCTACCTGTCTTGGTTACTTTTCTCCCGTTGCTGAGACAAAATACCCAACGCCCAAAATGAAGGAAGGAAAGGTTTATTTAGCTCACAGTTTGTGGAGGTTTCAGTCCATACTTGGCTGGATCCGAGGCAGAAGGTAGCAAAGCAACAAGAGCAAAGGGGGGAATGGCAGTCAAACAGCAAACAGCCAGAGCAAAAGGGAGGAATGGCGGCAAGCACCTTCTTTCCCTGCCTTACTTTGTAAACAGGCTACCCCCACTTAAGGGGCATGTAACTCTCACATAATCTCCATGCCTTCCTCTTCCACAGGCTCAGGATGTATACAAAGTAAGCACCCTGGCTTCCTGCTGAGTCACTTAGCCAAACCTCTAGACTCCCCAAGTTGACACAATGTTTCAACCATAACACTACCTGAATGCATTTAAACTACCACAAAAGAATACCAGAAAGTGAATAATTCCTAAATGAAGAAGAATTTTTGGGAAACGATCACTTATCTCCTATTAGGGGCGCTGGGAAGTCCAAGAGCAAGTTCCCACCCTTGCTGTCTCCGTGGGCTTCTGCACAACATCTGCACAGGAAGTAGGCAGAAGGCAAGAGAGAGGCAAATGCAGTGAGAAGCTTCTTCATTAGGACCTTAGTCCCCTCCACAGGAGAGGAGTTCCTGTGCCCCAGTCACCTCTCAGGCGCCCCCACACTTGGATAGCACTACATGTGCAACACGTTTGTCTTTAGTAAGAAGGGAAAAATCAAAGCTCAGTAATCATTGCTGCTGACTTTGGGGCTAGAATGTATTCCACTGAAGTGAGAGTAACACTTAGCCCTGACATTTCTAATCTGCTTTCTGTCTTTGGTATTAAGGAAAGCCAATTAACTTCATGCACCATACTTAACCCTAACCGTAACCCTAGCCCTAGGCTTATGCCAAAGAAAGGTAGTGAGACCCTGCAATGCGGTCTCTGCAGAATCCTCAGTCAGAACCTTCCACGCTCACAATCTCTGTTTCTCCAGAGACATCATCATGGAGTCAGCCACAGACCTTTCCTTTCCCATAATTCCTGTGCCTGTGAAATATTGGCTTCTTATTTTCACCATTTTCCTCAGTGGATTATTACACACTGTGGAAACCTAATCCTGAGTGAGCTCCTGACCCCACACACCTACGGGCTTGTTTTGCATTATTCGTTCTATGATGGATTCATGTTTCATGTGCACCTCCATTTCTAAATGAGACACTGAGCCAGGCATGGTGGTGCAGGCCTTTAATCCCAGCGCTCAAAGCTGGAGGATCACCGCAAGTTCAAACCCAGCCTGGGCTACCTAGCCTGATTGAGTCTCAACAAAACAAAACAAAAAATTAGATCTTGACTGTTTTAGTCACCTTTCCTGTTGCTGGGACAAAATCCCCACAACTTAAAGAAGGAGAGGGCTTTTTGGCTCCTAGTTTGTAGATGACTCAGTCTGTAGTCAGCTGGCTCCAAGGCAGGGTGCTATGGCACAGGAGAGCTGCTCAGGGCAGGAGATGCAGGAAGCAAAGAGAGAGTAAAAGGAGGAGCAGGGCAGGAGATGTCCCCACCCATGTCCCAGGCTCAGTCTCCTGGACTAGACTGAGAAATAAAAGTATTTGAATAGGTCCATATTTGGTTATTCACTCTAAGAAGCGCTTATCCACGGAATTAGCTGGGTCAGACAGTACACAGGGACGCAGGCTGTTGATTTCAGGGACTATTCAGGGACTCACACCTGAGATAAGGTTCTGGGGCAGACATAACTGCTGCACAAGTTTTCCTGAATTAGAGCCCTGAGAACTCAAAGGGCCACAAATGACCACAGAAAGGAGTGCAGACAGAGGAACGGGGAAATGGGAAGGGAGGGAAAGGACAGGCACAGGCCAAGCCTGAAGGCTCGGGATGGACAGTGACCCGGATCCCAGGCCTGGGGCATGGGGAGGGACTCCTGCTAGACAGAAATAAAATTTCACAGCTTCTCACAGGGTGCACCTGTCTATGAGTGCGGGTGTTACTCTTTGAAAGAATAAGGATTAAAGCCCCAAAGCCTCATTTTTGCTGCCTCCGGCATCTAATTCTTTGGAGGGCTGAACAAGTGCATTTCCCACAAGACCCCATCTCCTACAGTCAGTCAGTTATAAGCCACAACTGCAAGCACCCAAGGCTTGGGAAATATCTAGATGCAAACCACGACGGTCCACCTCTGTCCCTCCAAAGCCCATGTCACTATATGCAAAACACATTCATTCCATTTCTAAGAGTCTCCAAAATCTGAACAGTTCCATCAGTACTGAAAATTCCAAGTGCAAAGTGTTCCCTAAGACTCAAAGCAATTTCTCACCTGGGAGCCTGTATAAATATCACAAGGAAGAAAAACAGTATCGACATACAATGGCACAGAATAAACAGTCCCAATTCAAGAGGGAGAAACAGGGATACAGAAAGAAATGGACCAGAGCAAGAGGAAAACTCAGCTGGGCAAACATAAATTCTGTAGATCCATTTCCAGCACCCAGGGAGTTGTGACACTGAGATGTGAACTCCAAAGGGAGTGGGGACCTCTGGCCGCTATGTCATAGCAGGTGACTGCAGGTCTCATGGCTTCTCTCCCAGGATGATGTTGTTCAATTTTCAGTTTTCCTCAGGTGTTTCACACTGCAGGCTTCTCTCACCTTATGGATCTCCACTGCACTTTGAGTTTTACTGTCAGCATCATGAAGTACACTCTCAGGGCAGCCTGCCTGGACAGCAAGGCCTTCTACTGAAATCTGCTGGAAGCCTCTCTGACCCCACAGCTCTTGCATTCTGCACACCTGTGAAACCAGCAACACTGATCATGCCACGGTCTTCCAGCTCAAGCAGTAGCCATGTACTTTCAATTACAGCTGTATTGATCTCTCAGTACTAGACTGTTGAGCACATTTACTGATTCCCTGGGAATTCAGCAGCCATTCTCCTTCTCCAAAAAGGGGCTTTGGGGCTCTCTTCTCAAAGAAACTTCTTGCACCTTTGTTACTGAGCTTGCATAGTGTGGACCTTTGCATGTTCTTGTAATGCCCTCTAGTAATTCTTCCTACCGTTCTGATCCAGAATTGTTAGTTTATAATCCACTTCTCCCCTGCTCACTTTTGGGGGCATTTTCTTTTGGGCAAACCTGGACTTTATGTTGCTACTAATTGCAGTATAACTGTGGCTAAAATCAGCAAGACATATTTATGCTTCATGCTTAATGTTAGGCTGACTTAAAACTTTTTCTGCCAAGTTAATTATTCTGCTGTCCTTAATATCAGTCTCCCAAAAGTTTTCAGGAAATGAGCAAAATTCAGACAATTTTCAGCCATAGCATAACACATATAGCCCAGAAGCCAACTGTCAATGGTTAAAACCACCCAAACCTGGTGATTACTGTCTGCCTATCTATGAGGACCTTGGACTTACAAGTTCTGAACAAAAGCTTGCATTGAGGTCTGCTCTCAGCATGCTGAGGACTTTTCTAACTAGTGTACACAAAACATTTCCAACTCCTCCCATGAAATGAGTCTACAGGCTTCTGAACCCCATGGTCAGGTAGCAGTCATGGCAACAACCCCACTCTCAGTATGAAAATCTGTCTTAGAAACTTTCCTGTTGCTGGAGAAAAACATCTAACACCCAAAACTTAAAGAAGGAGGGAGGGACTTATTTTGACTCTCAGTTTGTTGAGGTTTCAGCCCATAGCTGGACATCTCCAGGGCAGGGCAGTTTGACAGAGGGAATGGCAGAGGGCATCTGCTCATGGCCTGGTCTCCAGGAAGGCCAGGGTGCGTGGTGGAGCTGGGCTGGTGATAAACCTCACAGGCCATGCCCTCAGTGACCAGCCTTTTCTGAGCAAGCTCCATATCTTATTGTCAAATCAGCTTTCTGTAATTCATTCACCTCTGAAAGCACCACCTGTCGGAGGGTCATGCTCTCGAGAGACAACTAGATGTACAGCATAGCACTGCCTGGGATCCCAGAGCAGAGATGTCTAACTTTGATAGTGAAATACAGGCACTGTTTTCGGTAGTCTTAGCAGGTTCTGAAACATATCCTGTGCGCTCTGAGGCCCTAGGACTGCAATGCTGCAGGATTCAATCCAACCAGGAACTCATGACCACATAGTATGCATGCAGATAGCTGCATCATTTTGAGTGATTCAGTGGCTAAATTCCCTAGCTTAGACTTTACTTCACTCACTTCCCAGTCTGGACACCAAGGAGACTCAGCACTTCCTGGATCTCCGCTATTCTCAAACTCTCCTGTGAAGACTCCATGGTGCACTGTGATAGTCACAGAAACTATGGGAGTGTTTTGTCTTTCCCTGCTGATTTTGACATATTACACCTGCAGATATCTACTCAGGACTATTCTCTCAGGACATAGCAGTTTGCAGTTGCTTTGCCTGGAGCTGCACAACCCACGTCCCCGTTCAGAATTTATATTTCTAGGAGCACAAAACTTCAGACTCCCAATATCACCTCCATAGGACTGCCTGAGGGTCTTCTCCACTGGCTCCCATGGAAGGAGTGAGTGATGCAGGTGACCAAGTACAAGTACACCATGGTCTGTAGGATGTGAGTCCGATGCACTGTGATACCTGCTGCATTATGTTACTCACAGCCCTTATTCCATGAAGGTGTTTGTACACTGTGGCACCAGGACCTGAGTGACAGAATTTGAAGATCTTCATGGAAGAGGTAGACAGATGTCATCGATCTTAACCTAACAGTCGGATATGATCTCACCCATGCACACATCTGTGAAACCCTTACTCTGTGAACAAACAGAACACGTTGATCACTCCAGGAAGTCTCCTCGGTCCTGTCTCAGTCAAGAAACCCATCCTCAAGACAAATAATACTGTGCTTTGTTTTGAAAATGTACATAGTCATGTCTGGTCAAGAGCTCCAGACATGTGAAACAGACAGGATGAAGCCTTTGCCTTTCCGTAAATTTTCTCAACACAGTTTCTGTGATAATTATGTTATTGAATGTAATCACAATTCTTTTATCTCCCCTTAAAATTATATTTAATTATATAAATATCCTAAAGCTCATTCATAAATTCTCTTAGGCACAGTTGTGCATTTTTTCTGGGTTCACAAATTAATAAAGAAGTTGGTATGAGGATCTCGTGCTAGCTTCTCTATTCATGTTCCATTTCTCCACAGCACAAAACTAGCGGTGGAGATGCTGCTCCTTCGGATGATTGTGTGTTCCTGAGACTCTTCCAGTAATATTCCCATAGTGTTTCTCACATTTTCAGTCCCACCACAGTGTGGGAGAGTTCGGTTTCCTCTTCTCTCTGAGTTTTGTCTATAATTTCCCCAGACTGGACCATGGGTGGCAGGTGGACTTCCACTGCTGAACACGATGCGTGCTGGAGGCCACTGTCTGGTGTTTTATTCAGTATTTCCAGTTCACGTAGCCTTTCACTGCAGAGGAGAGATGTCCTTGCACAGAGAAATCCAGTGCTTGGCATTTATTAAGGACACCCATGAACGTTCGAAAGCTAAAAGTCATATAAAAATGCTACGTCCATAGAATCAGAGAGTAAAACACTGGTTACCAGAAAAAGGGGTGGGGATGGTAACAGGAAAACACAGGCCAAAGGGTGCAGCTGTGAATGAGAAGATGGACGTGTTCTGAAGATTCGGCGTCCAGGTGGGAAGTGATGGCTCTCTGCATATGACTGTGGTAATCATTTCACCACGTGTGCACATCCCTTCATCAAATCACCTTTTATGCATTCCATGCATATCATTGTTGTCAATTAAATATTCAAAAACTAAAACAGGGTAAAATATTGAAAAATGCTGTTGGGGTACATATAATTTTCATACAAAAATGTCTTTGCCAGAAGCCTTTTCATAAGATTCAGTTTATTGAGTTTGTTGCTATCCCTCACAGTAGGGATTTCAATGCACTGATTTTAGCACAAACATGGTCGTATAAATAAGCAACATCTGACATTGCCACTCAAGAGGCCACAGTGACTGGTGAAATAGAAAGCTACTGCTGCTCTGTGCTAAAGCACGGGGAGAAATCATGGCAGTGAGGGGAGCAGCCAGCTCTTTTCAGAATCTCATCCTCAAATCAGGGAGAATAGGAAGAAGCTGCATTTCTCAAAGCTGACAGGGATAAATAAAGGGAAGTGTACTCAGGGGAAACTGGTGTGCAGGGATGAGCAGTGGAAATGGCCAAGTAACAGGGATTGTACTTAATTTTCCACATGGCTGCAAAGCAGCCTGGACCTTGCAGGCAGATGACCCCAGGCCTGCACGGCAGCATCCCGACTGGGACTCTGTGTGCTGTCCTGGTCCATGGGGACAAGCCCTGCAGGAAGCCCTTTGGGTGTGCTCTAGGGAGGACCAGATTCATCTGGTGGTGACACTGGGGGGATGACAAGGCTGTGATAATTTTCTTCAAAGAGATATTCACTCAAAAAATATGGCCGCAGGGGCCCAGTGAACTTATCTTTGAAAATATGGAGTATAGCAAATTGCTTCACATCATAAAAAGAGATCAATCCTTCATCATATTGTAAAAAAATCCCCACTACCGAGGGAGGTGCTACAACATTCAGATTATGACGGGGTACAGAAAGAATCTGGTAAGAATCATAATCCCTCTCAACGCTCCAAAAGCCATTCTCAGGATTAACACCACCGACAGCTGTTTCCCTGTTGACAGAATCCGAGCACAGTCCTAGTGTCCAACTTTCATTCCCTGCTGTGTCCACCTCCCAGTAATGGCTTCCACTGGAGAAGCTGTTCCGACCCAGCACAGCTGGGAGAGAAGTAAATCTTCCAGGGCTTTCAGGAACAGTTTGCTCTGTTGACAAACATTCAACACGTTTCCCACCCTCTGACACCGAGAGCTGAGGGTGCGCAGTGTCTTCATCCAGAATTATGTCTTCTGCAAAAGAGGAAGAAATACATTACCTGTAGGCCTTAAGAAAAGAGCTTTCAATTCTTTGAGCACTGTCAAAAGAGGGGTGAGGACACAGCACAGGGGTCCAGGAGTCTTTTCCACAGCCCACTGCCCATCAGATTGTCCCACTTACAGGTGTGGAGATCTTTCCTTTCAGGGTAACTTCCCCGAAACACTTCACCTCTGGACCTGACTTGTGCTGTCATCTCAGTTTCTAAGGACATGTTTGGTAAGAATGACAGGCACGTGGCCGACACCTGGGCAAGGTGTTACCAGTGGTCTGATGCTCATGGTGCTTCCTAGGTTCTCACACAGCAGCACTGTGTGCACAGGGAGAGAGGGAACCTGCCACAGGGACCAGGAGATCACAGGACAGCAGCACAGAGCGACACAGTCAGTGTGCTCAAGGGGAGGAACCTGGGAAGGGCAGGGAGGAGAGTGAGGAGGAGAGCGAGGGGAGCAGAAAAAGGTGGGGAGGTGGGGAGGATCAGGGCCAGAGGACTGCCTGGGCCAGGGAGGCTGTTTTTAGGGTTGGACCCTTATTGGGCCATAATGGGGAAGAGTGAGATAGTGAACATTGGAGAGAATGAAGATGCCCAACTATTTATTAAGGCTTTCTGTAAAGACAGAAAAAGTACTGTAACAGCAAACAGAGAAATTCAACCATTAACAGTTATTGTTAACTGGTTTTCTTTGGAGGAAAAGAGCCATCACACGTGCACATGAAGAGAGAGCCTGACAGACCGGGAGGACACCATGCTACAGGAGCCAAGGAGGAGGGAGGGAAGCTTTCCCGTATTCATGAGTTCTTTGTGGCCCTGAGGTGCTCTGGTGCTGATGCCCCTGGCTCAGGGAGGGGAAGCCCCTGCTCCTGACTTGCACAGACCTTGCCCTGCTGCTGAGGTGAGCTCCCTGTATCTCTGCTCTCCGAGGTGCTGTGTGTGGATCTGGAATCCTCTGCTGCCCCAGGTTCACAACCCATTATTGCTAGGAAGGGCTGGGTTTTTAACTGTGGGGCTTGGTGTGAAAACCTGGGTCACAGGTTCAGCACATGCAAGGGAACTGGGTGCCCTGCTCCCCTGTTCTTCTCAGCCACGTGGTAAGTGGTTCTGCCTGGCTCCCACCCTGACCTGTGGCCCTGACTCAGGAGTGAAGCCCACAGCACCAACTGCCCACAACCCGAAACCTCCAGATCCATGAAAGAAAGTTAAACTTTCCTTTTTACAAGTTTATGGCAGGTATATATATGTTAAGGCAAAACGGAATATACAACCCTTGTGTATTCCCTCAAAAGTGTTTCTCTCACATCATCTCCCATGATCAGCGTGGTGATTCTCACACAGCATCAGGCGCACATGCCCACTGTGAAGACACCGTCCTAGTTCACATGCGTTTTACAGATTACGGGCCCAAACCTTTTCTTTCTCTCTAGAATCCCACGGAAGAGAGGAGGCAAACATGAAGTCGTCTTAAGTTTAAGTTGTTCCCGTTGCAATTACCTGCAAATTTTCGAGCTATCTTCAGACCTACAACCAGACCGAGACAGTAAAAGTCAGCTGAGTGACTAGGCAGGCAGGGTTTCCGTAGGTAACAAGCTGTAGATGCCAATTGTAAGAATCAGGATTGTACTTACACTGCTTTATGAAACACTTTTCTTTCTCTGAAAACAATCAAACGGACAGAGAGATAAATATTTTGATGACACACAGACTGAATTTTCAATTTTGCACAGGAAAAAAATTAGAACTTACCACGTACTTCAGCAGTAATTTCTTAAAAAAGGAAGAGGAGTATTAATTTTTGAAAGCCCAAGAATGTAGATCCTAGCATTTTTCTACATACAATTTGTAAAATTTTTGGGAACATTTGTTTAGCTTTCTGAAACTTGAAACAGAAGTACAGAAATAGTCTTTACCAAAAGTTGTCTCTGCTCTGCAAACAATCACACTGAGATAAATATTTTCATGATATATACACTGAATTTTGAATTTACCACGGGAGGGGGGGGGGAACTTACCTCTCTGTTCGTTAGTGATTCTCTCTAAAAAAAAAAAAAAAAAAAAAAAAAAAAAGACCAAAGGAATATTATTTTTGAAACACCAAGAGACTTGTTTCTAGTTTTGTCTTCATATAATTTGTAAAATAGTGGAAACATTCGTTCAGTTTTCTGGAGTTTAGAGTAGAAGGACAGAAACAGTCTTTACAAAAAGTTGCTTGCTCTGTAATCACACAGAAAGAAAAATTTTGATGACACACAGATTGACTTTTCAGTTTAGCATAGGAAAGAAATCAGAACTTACCACGTTGAATAGCAAGTCCCTCTAAAAAAAAAAAAAGGCACAGGAATATTAATATTTGGTGGGAATATTAATATTCCCACCAGGGAAGTGGTTCCTAGCCTTTTTAAAAAATATAATTTATAAGATACCTGGGAACATTTGTTCACCTTTCTGAAACTTGAAGCAGAAGTACAGAAATAATCTTTACAAAAATTTGTCTCTGCTCGGCAGACAATCACACTGAGATAAATATTTTCATGACACACAGACTGAATTTTCAATTTAGCACAGGAAAAAAACCAAAACTTACTGTGTTCTCTAGCAATTCTCTCTAAAAAGAAAGAAGGACAAAGGAATATTAATGTTTGATGCACCAAGGAAGTTGTTCCTAGATTTTATCTTCATATAGTTAGTAAAATATTTAGAAATATTTGTTGAGATTTCTGGAGCTTGAGGCAGAAGTGCAGAAGCAGTATTTACAAAAAGTTTTCTCTGTTCCTCAGTCACAAAGGTAAATACTTTGATGACACAGACACTGAATTTTCAGTTTAGCACGTGGGAGAAATCAGAACCTACCATGCTCTTTAGCAATTTCCTCTAAAAACAAAAAAAGACAAAAGAATATTAATATTTGAGATGCCAGGTGGGTTATTCCTAGCCTTTTTGTAAACTATTTGGGAAGTTTTGTTCAGCTTTCTGGAGTTTGAAGCCAAAGGACAGATAGGGTCCTTGCAAAAAGTTTTCTCTATTGGGTAATTGATGGAGACCACACTGCAGCAGCTCTGAGGAAGACTTAAATTAAACAATTGGCTTTCCATATTTCATGTGAGTCTGTCCGAGGCCTAGGTTCCTTGTCTGGAGATGGGGGATAGACTCTTAGTAAGTGAACCTCTGTGAGTCACTGATCCTACTGAGGCCTGTAATTGCAGGTGATGCCTTGAAGCCTCAAAGGTTAAGGCAAGGTCACAGCCAAGGACACCTGACTCCAAGCTCAACTAGATAAAGCCTGTAGCCGCAGGCATCTCACTCCTGGGTGGAGACCTTCCTGGAGTTAATGTTGCCCTCCTAAATTAACATAATGCCTTACTTGGTGAAGTCCTTGAGTAGTTCTGCCCTTCTGTTACTCCCCACCCTTCTTCTGATAACTAAATAAATAGGGACCGCTCAGAGAAGGTCTTGGTCTTAGCTCCAAGAGAATCTCAACATCTGTGAGAGATCTTTGATCTTCTTGAACCCCTGACATCGTTGCATTTGTCTGCTTATATTTAACCCATCCCATAAACTCTTTTAGGAGATTGTAGACCTATCAGTCTGCAATAACTAAGGGATATTATTAACCTGAAATGCAATCACACTGAGAGATAAATATTTCCATGACATATACACTGAATTTTCAGTTTAGCACAGGAAAGAAAACAGAACTTACCACGTAGTTTAGCAAGTCTCTCTAAAAAAAAAAAAAAAAAAAAAAAAAAAAAAAAAAAAAAAAAAAAAAAAATGGCAAAGAAATATTAATTTTTGAAACACAAAGAAAGTTGTTCCTAGCTTTTATCTTCATATGATACGTAAAATATTTGGAAATATTTGTTCAGCCTCTGCAGTTTGAAGTGGAATGACAGAAAGGGTATTTGTAACAAGTTTTCTCTGTTCTATAAACAATCACACTGAGATAAATATCTTCATGACATATACCCTGAGTTTTCAATTCAGCATACGGAGGAAAACAGAACTTACCTTGTTCTTTAGCTATTTTCTCTAAAAAAGAAAGAGCAAAGGAATATTAGTTTTTGAAACACCAAGAAAGTTGTTCCTAGCCTTTATCTTCATATAATTTGTAGGCTATTTGGAAACATTTGTTCAGCTTTCTGAAGTGTGAAGCAGAAGGACAGAAATGGTTTTTGCAAAAAGTTTTTTCTGTTCTGCAGACAATCACACTGAGATAAATATTTCCATAATATTTATTCAGATATTCACATATTATTCACATATGCTGAATTTTCAATTTAGCACAGCAAAGGAAACAGAACTTACCATCTTTTTTGGTGATTTTCTCTGAAAACATAAAAGGGCAAAGCAATATTAATTTTGGAAAGGTCATGAAAGTTTTTCCCAGCTTTTATCTTTATATAATTAGTAAAATACTTGGAAATATTTTTCAGATTTCTGGAGCTTGAAGTAGATGTACAGAAGGAATACTTTAAAAAATTTTCCTCTGTTTTGCAATCACACAGAAAGATAAATATTTTGGTGACACATGGGCTGAATTTTCAGTTTAGCGCATGGGAGAAATCAGAACTTACCATGCTCTTCAGCGATTCTCTCTAAAAAAAAAGGCAAAGGATTATTAATATTTGAAATGCCAGGTCAGCTGTTCCTAGACTTTTTCTCAATATGATTTGTAAACTATTTGGGAAGATTTATTCAGCTTTCTGAGGTTTGAAGGAGAAGGACAGAAAGGGTCTTTGCAAAAAGTTTCATTTGTTCTGCAATTGATGGAGACCACTAGGAAGCAGCTCTGAGCAGGACGTAAATTAACCAATTGACTTTCCATGTTGTTGGCTCCTTGTCTGGAGACGGTGGACTCATAGTAAGTGAACCTCTGTCAGGCACTGGTCCCTGCTGAGGTGTGTAATGGTGCGTGAAGCCCCAAAGATTCAATGGGTAAGAAAAGGTCACAGCTAAGGACTACTGACTCCAGCCTCAACTAGATAAAGCCTGTAGCCTCAGGCATCTCTTTCCTGGGTGGATCAATTCCATACTTTACTTGGAGAACTCCTTGAGTGGTTCTGCCCTTGAGTAGTTCCCTCCCTTCTTCCGATTACTAAATAAATACAATCGGGACCACCCAGAGAAGGTCCTGGCCTTAGCCCTGAGAGAATCTAAAATTCTGTGAGAGGGCTTTGATCCTCCTGGAGCCCTGAAATCATTCCATTTGCCTCTTTCTATTTACCTTCACCATACACTTTTTTGGGAGATTGCAGACCTGATCAGCCCATAATAACTACGAGATATTATTAACACTAAATGCAATCACACTGAGAGATAAATGTTTTCATGATAAGTACACTAAATTGTAAATTTACAACAGGAAAAAAACAGAACTTACCATGTTCTCCAGCAATTCGTTCTAAAAATCCCTCTAAAAAAAAAAAAAGGGGCAAAGGAATATTAACTTTTGAAATGCCAAGAAAGTTGGTCCTAGCCTTTACCTTCATATAATTTATAAAATATTTGGAAATATTTTTTCCAATATTTTGGAAAATTTTTGGAGGGAGGATCATAATAAGTGAACCTTATTATGGAGTTTGAATCAGAATGATGGAACGGGCCAGTTGTCTTCAATTTCTACATTTGACATCACTGAATTAGTTAAGAATCTGACCACCATTATTTGGAGCCTACAACTATCACAAGCAGCTTGTCATTGCTAACTTATTACTCCATTAGTTCAGTTTATATCTTCACCGCATTCCTGAGTTAGCTGCAAATGTTTCCTATCTGCTCAGCAAATTCGTACTGACATCCAGCTCTAGCCAGGGGCTGGCTGCGCACAGGGCCCTCACGATGGGTCAGGTGCAGTCTCTCCTCCCACAGGGCGACCTCTGCAGCCTGTCAGTACAGCCCAAGCTGGGCGCAGCATGGAATATACAACAAAAAGGGACCTCTGCACTCCTGGAGAGAGACTTTTGGGTTTTTTTGCATTATAAATATTATGTCTTCTTTTTTAGAGGCCAAGCTTTATAAAATATTGTGTCTTAAAAGTGAAATGTGCTTGTATACTTTTAAAAATCAGTAGAAAAATACATTTAATTAGTTTCCATTACCTACGTATAACCACATGAAATCCTTACATATACATTCAGCATATTTTTATTCCACGAAAAAATTATTGTACAAAAATGCTATGGCATCATTTGTCACTTTCACTGTAATTTTAAATACTTAAAATTAAAGTGTACACATAGCAGACCCAGCCCCGCAGGCGCCCTGCC